GGGAGAGAGTGCTCAGGCATTGGAATGTGCTGCCCAGGGAGGTGGTGGATTCACCATCCCTGGAGGTTTTCAAGCTGAGACTGGATGTGGCACTTAGTGCCATGGTCTAGTGACCACAGTAGGGTTGGACTTGATGATCTTGGAGGTCTTTTCCAACCCAGCTGATTCTATGTTCTGTCCCACCTCCCTGCTCAAGCAGGGTCAGCCCAGAGCATGTGGCACAGGGTCCTGTCCAGATGGTTCTTGAATACCTCCAGTGAGGGAGAACCTGTGACCTCTCTGGGAAACTTGTTGCTGTGTGCAGTGACTGCATAACAGAGAAATTCTTCTCAGAGAACTGAGCTGGAGACAAGTGGGAGGATTTACCTCTCATACTCCCTGTTTCTGTTTTTAGTTTGGAGATGGCAAGTTGCTTTGCAGCTGCAGCTTTGTGCTGATAAGTAATGTAGCAGTGAAGTTTCTAAGCTGTTTAATGGCTTATGTTGTCTGAACTTCAGTGTGGAGTTCTGTACAGGGAGCAGGGCAGGGGGAGGAGAATTAGTGTGGAATTAGAGTAGAATAGTTCGTTAGCAGCAGGAGAGAACAAGGAGAATAACTAGAGAAATATTTGCGAACAGAAAGTCCTTCCCTGGTGACAAAAACACCTGAGTTTTACTTTGTGTTTGGCTACAAACAGTTGTTAAACACAACCAATCAGTGATTTTTGTAGGAAAAACCCAAACCCAGAGCTAAATCTTTACATCATCATCATGTTCCACTGTTTTGCAGACGATGTTGAGTTTGAAGTGTCTTCTGATCGCCGAACTGGAAAACCCATTGCTATTAAATTGGTGAAGATAAAGCCAGAAATATTACCTGAAGAACGAATAAACGGACAAGTTAGTGCCTTTTTTTTCTCTAGATCCATAATTTCCCTGCTTGACTCCAGCACAGAGGGCTGGATTCAGTTAGCCTGTGACCACCATGCAGTATAGCTGCACTGAAATATATTTCAGTATTGTGGCTGGAGCATTTCACTGTTGTAGCTGAAGTATATTTCAGTACTGTAGCTGGTAAAAATTCAGAGGTTCAGTTTGAGCTCTTCCTTAGCTCCAAACACATCTTTAGAGCCAAGAGTTCTGTGAGATTGAAATCTGCAGCGTGGCATTCCCTGTCAAGTGTGTAGTAGAGGATACTGAGATTCATTTTGTGTTCACCAATGCCACTCCTGAAATGACTAGCAATGGATTTTTTTTTTTTTTTTGACTGGTAGGTTGTGTGTGCTGTTCCTCACAATTTAGAGAGTAAATCTCCAGCTGCCCCGGGTCAAAGTCCAACAGGGAGTGTTTGCTACGAACGTAATGGGGTAAAGCTTGTGTATTTTACTTGAACTCTTCACTGATCCATCACTGTGGTTTCTAAACAAAAACAAAGATGCAATTCGATGTGGACAATTGACACTGCACTGAACTGTGTGGTTGTTGGCCAAAAAAAAAAAAAGCATGCTTTGGTAATTCTTACAAACAGTAATGTTACTTTGCTTATGTCTATGGAGAACTTTCTAGAGAGCCCAACAGTTGTTCTCTTTTAAAACTTCCTGAAGTTCATGTGCTTTGAGCTTCTAATTGCCATTTAAAGGTGGCCACATACAAACCTTTCAACTGAAGGTGCTTGTTACAGACTCCCCCAAACAGCACGATGGAACAAAGAATGTTTCTGCATGCCACGTTTGATCTTTGTCCATTTCCTCACTAAATTAAGCAGATTTGTTATTAAACAAGACTGTGTTAATCTGTCTCTGAAACAGCTGCTCTGCAAATAGAGTGACAGCAGTTCATGTTAATTTGCAGGAAGTATTTTACCTGACTTACACCCCAGAGGATGTTGAAGGAAATGTACAGCTGGAAACAGGAGATAAAATAAACTTCATAATTGATACAAATAAACAGTAAGTTGGTCTTCGTTTTCTGGCTTCATGCCTGGTTTTGCTCAGGCAAAATTCACTGAATTGAATTGAAGTGATGAAATGGAATCTTCATTGTTGTTTCAGCTTTGCTCTGTTTTCTCCCCTCTAGTACTGGTGCTGTAAGTGCTCGTAACATTATGCTATTAAAAAAGAAACAAGCTCGCTGTCAAGGAGTAGTCTGTGCCATGAAAGTGAGTGCTTTAAGTTTCATTTGAAGGGGGATACATAACAAGTTTGGAGCTTTAGGTGTCAAGTGGGTGAAGCAGTTTAAACTGTGAGGAAAAACATTTTTCCCTGTGAGGGTGGTGAGACACTGGCACAGGTTGCCCAGGGAGGCTGTGGCTGCCCCAACCCTGGCACTGTTCATTCCAGGTTGGCTAAAGCCTTGAGCAACCTGCTCTGGTGGGAGGTGTCCCTGCCCAGGGCAGGGGGTTGGGACTAGATGATCTGGAAGCTCCATCCCAACCCCTAAAATTCTATGAATTCTATGGTTCTTTGATCCTAATGTTGCTCTTAACCAAGGAAGTCCCTTTTATTTCTGTTTATTTCTTGTTATAGTCTCTTAGCTGTGAGCAATCCTAAGTGCTGTAATGAGATTCAAAGTCTTTAGTTACATTTGCTAGAACCTATAAAATTATTTGTTGGTGTGTTATGAGAATGGACAATTTATTAAACACCTTTTTGGGTTTTTCTCCTGTTTGTAGGAAGCCTTTGGATTTATTGAGAGAGGTGATGTCGTGAAGGAGATTTTCTTTCACTATAGTGAATTTAAAGGTGACCTAGAAACCTTACAGCCTGGTGATGATGTGGAGTTTACAATCAAAGACAGAAATGTAAGACCAAATCCAGTAAAACGGAAGACAAGATCCTAGATAACTGCAGAGCTCTCTGCTCCAGTTCTCTTTGAAACAGGAGGGGGGAGGAGGTTCTTTGGGAAATGTCTGCTTCTTTCTTCTCTTAGGGTATTTGACTGATTTTGTGCTCTTAGGGTAAAGAAGTTGCCACAGATGTTAGACTGCTGCCTCAAGGAACTGTCATCTTTGAAGATATCAGCATTGAACATTTTGAAGGAACTGTAACCAAAGTAATTCCAAAAGTACCCAGCAAAAATCAGGTGAATTGCAGTAGTTGCTTCAGTTGGTGAAATGCTCCTTTGGTTGCACTGAATTCCAGTCAACTGTTCCCATTTCCCTGTACATTTCTGCTGCAGAAGAATCACAGCAGAGTAAAGGATTTTTGGTTTGGGTTTCAAATGCGAAGAGCTAGAGGTGTAGGGTTTGTGGTACATTGGGGAGTGTCTGCTTTCTTTAATGTTTCACATGCTTCCCACTGAATTTTGTGGGTTTGGGATGTATCTTTTGGGCAAAGCTTAGGGAAAATGGGAGAAAATATTTGCTGGAATAAGCCAGATCTGTGGATTCCTCTGAGCATT